CCTCCCTTTATTCTTCCCATATATTAGTCTCTCCCAAATGCACACGGCCTCGCTTGCATAAACACTGACTCGCTCATTAATCCCATCTCTGCTGATGATTTATTTTCCTCTTCTTGCAGCAAAAAACACCCATGAAGGCTCTTTTTCTCCCTCTGTTTGTCTCCCCTCCATCTTTGCTCCCTCTCTCTGGTTAAACAGAGTGTTTGGCTTCTTCTTCTACTTTTCCGAGAAAGTAATTCTCAACAATTGCCAGAAAGCCTTTCACAGTTTGTTTTGGAGATAATGATAATGCTTCAGAGTGAACAGACCAAACTCATCGCTGGCCCTTTTTATGGCTCTAACAATGGCTGTGTGTCGATTAGAGATGACTGTTGCTAAGAGATACAGCATCAGATAGAAGGCGTTTGTTTGAATAAAAGTGGTCACTCAGAGAAAATAGCTGAGGATAATCAAAATAACCGATTTCCCTCAGGCAGGCTGTGCTGTGTAATCATTTATTAGAGATTCCAGCAGAAAGAACGGTCAGATAAACACCAGTGAAATAATATTTCCCTTATCATCATGGACGACTAATGAGGGCCACACGTTCGTGCCGTCTCTAAATGTGTGAAACATTAGGGTCAGAGCTGTTCATGGGTTTTTACATCTATGTCTCTCCTAGCTATGAGAGGGGAAGACAGAGGATCGCTGCAAAACATTTCCACGTCCCAGCTAAGAATGTTATCCAGAGCTAAACACCTCACGTTCGTCTGCGTCTGTGTAATGTCGAATCAATACATTCATGCGTTTTGGGTTTCACAAATGAAAAACACAGGCACATTTGATCAATGTACAAAAAGGATGTATGACTGGAGGCTTGTACTAACTCTTGCAATACAACCAAGGTTACTCTTTGACCCAGAGGAAAATCAGCACAGGTTTGACTCCTTCTTATTGATTACACAAGTCAAATAAATCTACTAGACAGGTGTTAGAGTCTACAGGAATTTAAGAAAAAATTGGTTCATTTTTCAAAGGTGTTGTAAAAGTTCTAATGCGTCACTTCACCTTGGGCCTGTGGTTTCAAAAGTCTGATAATAATGTAGTCGTGGTAGTCTGCATAATGATTCAGCAGACTTTTTAAACCAGAAGAGCATAGACTAGTTTCATCCATTCGTACAAGTTCCTTGTGGTTCTTAGTCCATGACAGAACAGCCCACAGGATGATACCTCTGATAGAGCAGACCGGTATTGTGCATCTTAAGGATGTCTTGCTTAACATATACTTGAAACTGAGCTTGAAGTTAAAATGAAAAAAAAAACAAACAAACAAAAAAAAACAAAACCCTGGTAGTGAAGGTTTAGTAGATTCTCCAAACCTGGAGCTTAAAATACTTAAAAAAAGTAATTAACAAAAACACATTTTTGTCCCCCTTCTATGTTTTTACAGCCATGTTCACTGAGGTGCCTCATGATATGACCGCACACAGAGGCCAGGATGTGGAGATGGCCTGTTCCTTCAGAGGAGCAGGGACACCATCATACTCCCTGGTGATCCAGTGGTGGTACATCAGGAATCACTTAGACTGGACCGACAGGCAGCCATGGACCACCAACGAGGTACGTTTACAATCTGAGGCCTCATAAGATTTTGTTAGATGCTGTATTAATCCACTTTAACCACCAGGTGGCTATAAGAAAGTAAACAGATCCATCAACCCATAACTTGCTAATATCTGGCACACACCAACTACACTGTTTACACGTGTTGTTGATGATCAATGCTGTTAGTAAACCAGTTTTATTTGTGTTTATCAGGTGGCTCCTGATGAGGAGATGCCAAAGGATGCTACAAAAATCAGTGTGAGTAAATGTTCAACTGCCTTTAGTTTGTTTGAGAGAATAAAATGTCCATCTATGTATTTTTGTGAGGAATACTAGAGCAAACTTCAAGCTTTGCTCTTGGCTATTCATAGAATTGATCTTATTTTTACCTTGGTTACATGTGGGTGGTGTCCAACGCAGGGGAACAGTGTAGGGGCCATGATCGTCGAATTCACATAGAAATCGCCTGCATCTTCATGATTTAGCAGATGATTCCTTTAATGAAGTAAAGAAACATTTTTTAATACAAGTGGAGGAGGTGAAGAACTCAGTTTAAGGGCTTTAAATATGACATTTTGTATATTGTAATGTCACTTTGTAATGCAAAGATGAAAAGGTTAAACTAGAAAGTGTTAAAGATTTAATAGTAATATTAAAAAATAGCAGAAAAACATCAGGAAACCACCGACATTTAACTGGTAAAAGTACAGTATGTTATTACAGCTAACACTTAAACAGAGAAAGTTTTTTTTTTTGTAAAATTGACACTGCAGTGTTGCAGTGTAAATTTAAGAAAAAAGGTGAATTTCTAATGATCTTGAAACTAATTTACATATTCACTGCCCAACTTTAGCTCCATTACCTTGACATTTTGGCTGTTTTATTGCATGCATGGCTGTGGGTGGAGCCTAACACTGTGAAGCTGGAGAATCATTAAGCTCCCTGTATGTATTGGACATTGGCCTACATGCATTTAGTCAAACCAAATATGGTCGATGTCCTCACCGACCAGCTTCACACAATAGGATGATGAATGTAGCTCTACAACAAAGCAAACAGGGTGTTGAGTTTAAACACTGAGCGCGCACACGCACACACACATCTTCCTGACATCTCAGGAAGGATGTGTGTGATAAACAAAGTCGTATTTATATCTCAGTGCCTCACTTCCCCAGACTCTCATCATCATCCCAACAGTGAAGCTCTGTGAACTTGCAAAGCCTCTCCTCATACTTTTTAAGAACACAAATAGAAGCAGTAGCTTTGTCTGAGTCACTGTAAGTTTTCAGCTGAGACGGGCTCAGATGTGTTTGTTTGTATCCAGGCTTTCAACTTTACACCTACTCAAAGGTTTGACTTTTGTTTTTCCCTTGTGGAAAATACAGATACAGCAGTGTCTTCCTTTAAAAGTGACTTTTTCATTTGGAGGAAACCATTATAAAAGTATATAAAATCAAACATGTCACTGCAGAATACTTGGCACAAGTTTTAGTTTTCTGATTTGGAGCATAGTTCCTTTTTCCTAAGCTGTTTATCATTTTTACATTTTTTTCATTGCCAGGTTGTGAAAGTCGTCGGAAGCAACATCTCTCACAAACTCCGCCTTTCTCGAGTCAAGCAGTCTGACGAAGGCACCTACGAGTGTCGGGTCATTGACTTCAGCGACAATGCTGGTGTTCGCCACCACCGTGTCAGGGCTTACCTGCAAGTGTTACCAGAGGGCGACGTTACGTTCAGTGACAACAACAACCGCAACAACTTCGATGTGGTGGACGACACAAAGCGAGGTGTGGTATTTGTCGAAGATGAGGGCGTTGATTCTCACGGTGGGACCAAAGAGCACGCTCACAGTCACCACCAGAGCCACAGGCACCACCAGGAGCAGGGGAAGCGACCTTCATCACCATCATCCCACCACAGCAGCAGTCATCATCAGAAAGAGGACAGAGAGCTGAGGAAGAGAGAGGTGGACAGTAACCAGAGCCACGACTGCGGCAACGAGCCCAGCTGTGCCCTGTAGATCCAGCCTGGCTCCACCTGAGTCATCAAGCGGTGTGTGTGTGCGTGTGTGTCACAGCATAAAAAGCTATACTTCCTACACAGCACCGGCCTGTGCACATGTCCAAAATTTTTAGATTTGTGCACCAAGGCTGTAGCCTGTGCAGGGAATCTAGCTTTTTCTGGCTGGGCCTGGTTTGGACGTCACATGGTCTGTAAAACCTGGCATTATGACATTCAGCAAAGGCTTGTGTGCTGCTGTGTGTAGATCCAGGCAAACTTACTGTTCCTGGTCTGAGCACCACCAAAAAAGGCTCTACTATTAACTAGTTTCAGTCTTGTACTTTAGATACCGTCGATGATTTTGCTCTGCTTTCACGCTCACATCAACTCCACTGCCTTACTGTTTCACGTAATACACGCTCAGAAAAAAAGGCTTTTCTAACAGTTATAAACCCTCTAAATGTCAGTCAGAGGAAATACATTGTCTTTTGAGAAAACTAAAGTCAGTTTAATTCATGTAATGGGAAACAGTGCTTTCTTACCTACAGTAGAAGAAAAGCTTGAAGGTAGAGTGCACAGGAAGTGGTGATTGTTGGTCAGCACAGAGTTTAGTTTGCCAGCCAACCTCCTCTTCTCTTCCTAGTAGGAGAAATTTGTCTAATGTAAATGTAATTCTGAGACTTAGTCCAAACATTTTCCACAGCAACAGTTAGCACAGCTAGTTTTTAAGATTAGTGGTTTCTCATTTGATAAAAAAACCCCCAATGCAGCTAGTTACAGTTTAATGACAGCAAAACTTAGGCCTAGTTGTGATTCATTCAACTCAAATTTTGATTCCTAATACCCATATTTTTGCCTTAAATATTCTTTAATATTAATCTTTTTTTAAATTAAAAAATAATTTAATTTGAAGTTTATTACTTTTTTCTAAGTTATTCCACCGTACCTTTAACCACTTCTGACCTTGCATTCACATACTGGTTGTATTAAAGGTACATTTATATGCATTCACAAACACAGAGTTATTTTGTGTTTACTCTCTGGAATAAAGAAATCCTTGTTTCATTCAGTAGGATCATCATAATCCCAGAGCAGCAGTGCTCATCAAGGACAGATGTGTCCAGTTTTCATTCTACCTGGAGTAAATACACTGGCAGTCTGAAGAGTCTGACTTTTTTTTTTCCTTTACTACCGCGATTTAAACAAATCACATCACAGGCTTTTTTTTTTACCCCTGCAATGCTTTTGGATTTATGAAAAGCCTTTCACAGAGAAATTGTCATTTTTCACCTACCCTGTTTATTCAACCTTTTTGCTTCAGGTTCGATCCATTTGGGGCTGTTCAGACTGGGCAGAATCAATGGTACAGTCCCATGTGGACTCCATATGTTTGGAAAACCTATGAGAAGATCAAACGTGTGTTAAAATTATAATTAGATTAAAAAACCTGAAAAATTCTGTTTCCCTTTCAGTCTACACAATAAGGTGAATATATAAAAAAGTAAACCTCTGTTCTGGCCCAGTGCTTATTAATCATTAACAACCTCAGTATAAAAAGCCTCCTTTTCCCTCTGTACATATATATATAAATATATATATATATATAAAAGCTGTATTATATCCGATAAATAAAATGGGTGCATGTTTAGTCATTTTCTTACAACCTTTTTCAGCCAATCATCATCACCGTGACCCCTGAGTGTGTTTATTTACACATGTTAAATGAAAACAATGCATCATTTCTGTTAAAAGTCTTTCCTTTTCTACTTGAAAAGTCTTGTCAAAGGGATGTATATTTTTTTTTTCTCACAACTGTTCTTCATTGCTTCACTCTTCTCCTGAAGTACTGTACAGACAAACGAATGACACTTTTCTCCTCATAGCTGCTCAATAACAGGAGTTCTCCTCGCTGTATCTTAGTACTAATCAGTGTTTCTTTAACTACTGCACAAAGACCTGTGGGGCCGTGAACACCTGTAATTTAACAAGCATGGTTTACTGGATTTATTTCATGCTAATTACATTTTAATTTTTGTTTTCTGTATTTAAATACACTGAGTGGAGCTGCAGGTTTGAATCCCTGGCATTGGTTTGTAAAAGGGTTTATAAATGCAAGGCATGTGTTATGCTGAAAGCATAAGATGAGTTGAAGCTTTTTTTCTACCTGTGAGAATGAAAAGTAAGAGGAAAATGTATTAATGGTTATTTCCAACCTGTTGTTGGTTCACAACGTTATTTATTTATTATTCAATCTGCTGTTTTGATTTGATGTTTTGTAATGAAGAGATCACTGTTGAAAAAAATGTACATTTCTTCTAGAATGTTTGGTCTCACACTAAGTGTATGCCTTTATCAATTTCAATAAATTGTATACTGTAATTGCAATTTGTCCTGCAAAAGTGGAGTGTCCCCAATGATGTCATAGAGCCTGAACAACCTTCTAGACTGGAGACGTTTGTGCAGGCTTTGGATCTTAATCCTACTCTAACATTACTGTTATCATGACTTAAAGGAGCCATTATGGTAGACACAGGTCACCAAGCTGTCCCCCGTCCAGTCCATGTCCTGCTCTAAAGGTCGTCTTTATTTCCTGTCTGTCTCAGGCAAGTCATGTTAAAACGAACACATTAACAAAAAACTATTTGCCTCAATAGATGTTACAGTTTTTACATTCAACTAGAATTAGGCAATATCATATTTTTATACTAACAACACAAAGTAAGGCAGAATGAGCTTTAAAAATATGATTGACGTTCAAATTAGATTGAGGAAGCACTTTGGAAAAAGTGGGAGAAAAACTTACCTTTTAACACTGAAGAGAAATATTCCAAAAATTCAGACTTGGTGTTCAACTGTCTGCCTTGGTAAAAACTGAAAGAGAAGAAAGTGGGGGGTATGGCAGAGAGGTGAGAAATGATTGTTTTGGCACAAGTTTTAAACTTTATGATCTTCCTGATACAAACATGGCTGGGCACAAGGAGAACACAGAATGTACCCCCCAGTGGCTGAGCTGTATGTACTACATACATATATCAATTGTGTATTTTATGGAGTGTTCCTAACTGAAGAGTCATTGAACAGTGACAGTGGTGTGGATACTTTGTAAATATCTGACCTCTGCTCCGTGTCTGTGTTTATGTGACTGGAGCTGAGCAGAAAGAAAGAATATCTGAGTGTAGACGCTGCTGCTCCCACTCTTTCTGACTAATGGTGCTTTTGTCATCAGTGGCAGCAGAATAAATAGCAGCAGCATAGGGCAAGATAAAGAGGAGGTGAGGAGTTGAGTTTAGTGGAAGCAGCTAAATACAGAAGATGCGGTGGCGCCTGTTTCTCCTCATACATTTATTATGGAGCAATGAGGTGTGGAGACAGCGGGCTGTGAGGTGCTGTGTGCTGCACTTACACGTCTCCCAAGCCTGCAGGGCCAGACTGATAATGTGCACAGTGATAGATTGGAAAGCCTTCGGACACCTCGCCCTCTCTCTGTGAATAAACAGAAAGCACATGTTGGAGTTGTGTGTGGCCACAGAAGCTCGATGATGCTCGAGATGAGAGGAGAAAACCTCCAACATGGTCTTATCTTCTCTGTTGGGTGCAAACACACTTGCAGCCAGCAGGTCTATAAGGCAGATTGAAAACAGACAATAGTGTTTTGAAAGGAAAGAAAAAGGTTTAGAAAATCTCACCTGGTTATTCCTTGGCCACATCCTAGACAGTTCACCAGTCCATCACTGGTGCAAATATAGTGACAAACATGTATTCAGGTATCAGGGTCCAGCTGGATCAGGTGTCGGAAAACACTGCAGAGAAAAGAAAAGTAAAGAAAATGTGAGATTATGATTTTTCTGAGGTGCCAAAAAAAAAAAACACCCTACACATACATTACATTCATCAATTTAGAATAAACAATTAGCCTGATTCTCAATCTGCATGTTTTCAGCCTGTGGGACGAAACCAGAGTAGCTGCAGACAAGCGTGCTGACAGTGTCACCAAATATATCAACTGTAAAAAATTGTAAATGACAACAGCAAGTTTTCTAATGTTGTTATGATAATCAGTAGTCACAATTAACACATAAAACCTGTTGAATCCCATGATAGCATTTTATTTCCGTTCACAGATATATTTTTCCGTTGTTTTCAGTCAGATTAACTCTGAAGCTGAAGCCTGAATAATTCAAAGATAACAATCCTAAGGAAAAAAAGTTACTTCTAAAATAAGGAATAAAAGCATATTTTTCTTTTTTGGTCCAGGTCACTCTTATCTTGACGGGGGAAAACGAAAAACAAAACCTCCGGCAAGGTGCTGCACAACTCCTGGAACAGCAGAGCTGTCTTTTAAATGTGCTCCTGGTTCCTGCACCTGCCGCAGGAGTGTGAACATCAGCTGCAGAGGAGATGCTTCACTGACATTCTCCTGTTTTATCTTTTTGACTCAGTGCTTATCAGAGGTCATCTGTGCTGCAGCTAATGGCTGATTCTTTCTGCAAAATTGTCAGATTCTCATTCAGTTCACCGTCTGCCGTCCATCACCAGCTTGATAGCTGATCTTCTCGGCTGAGTCAAACTCCTCCCCCAGCAGTTTGAGGACATTATCAGAGAATTCATCCCTGGGTGTGTTCAAGCCTCTCAGCTGGACTGGCTGCAGGTCAGGGTGAGGAGGTGTGTGAGAAGACGCACAGTGCAGCTCATTCAGAGTGAACCAGAAGGTATCAGGGTCCAGCTGGATCAGGTGTCGGAAAACGCTGCAGAGAGAAGAGAAGGAAAGAAAATGTGAGAGTATGATTTTTCCGAGGTGCCAAAAAACACCTTTCTGTGAGCGGAACACGGTGGGCTCACAGCCCTAACTGTTGTTTCCAACAGTCTGACTGTCACTCTGTTCTCTAACCACCAAGTGAAATAAAATTCTATCAATAATTCCAAATAAAAAAAAACATTTTTTACACATGCAGCTGTGCTCCTTTAATTTAGGTTTAATAAACCTCATCGCACACAAAACTAGAATTTAGTTTATACTGCAATTACAATAAAGATATTATACTATATATATATATATATATATATATATATACACACACATATATATATACACATACACACACATATATATATATATACACACACACACACACACCAATACATAGATATATTTGAAATATATCCCCAAATGAATGCTAAAAGAGGGATCTGCAGAGAGACGTTACCTGAGGCAGGCCTCCTGTAGTCTGATTGGTTGTCTACAGCTCAGGTAAGGCAGACAGGCCTCACTAACAGCATCCAGATCTGTTTCACCTGTGAAATGTAGAAAAACAGACGCAGACAGTAAATGGTGGACCAAAATGTTCCCAGAAAATATGCAAATTTCACTTTTTTGTATAAGCCACAAAACTGTAATTTTAAGAAAAATCATGACTGGTCCCCATGTCCGTCTATGCATTAACAAATAAAGAAGAAATTCAGAAGAATTGTCTTTTGACCTTTTAAAGAGCAATACAATGGCATCTTTAAGTATGTCCACATTTATGCTTTGCTCTTTCTGTGTTTGAAGCTTTACAGTAATCCCAGCTTCCTCCAAGTCTGGGTGAAGAAAAGATGAAGATAAAACAAGGGAGAAAAAAATGGAAAATAAATATTTTGTACATAAATTTTCTAACTTATAAGAAACCAAAAGAACCTGTTGTGATGGCTGAGAAAAAAAAAATCACAGCAGGCCGTTTCCACCTGTGTGGATTTCACACCTGAGAAGAACTCACCACCATTCTCACTACTCGTCATCACTGACTGTGACTTTCATAACCCTTTTCCTTCCATTCACTCCAGTCCTTTCTCACCTTGTCATCTCCTCTTCTCATTTCACTCTCACACTCCACATCCTTCTATCCTTCTTTCCTCCCTGGCAGATTTTTAGTGATTCCCTGAGCTGCAAACTGAGCTTCCTTTCAGTCCTCATTTCAAAATGTGCCTTTCTCCTGCTCCACTCGCTCCATTTGCCAATTCTACCCACACTTGGCTTTTAAACCTGCTCGGCTCACTGTGCGTAAAGGAATAAAAGCAGCAGTGCATGTTTCAGAGCTGAACCAGATTATTTAACAAGCGCTTTTATGTTCTGCTACAGACCCAAAATGTCAGCTGTTGTTGAATGAAAAACAGGGCTCGGACATGAAGGTGTCCAGATGCTACTAGACAAAAACAACAGTGTTGAATGGATACTGGGGCTACAATTAGGGCAGAGACACATCATTCGCTTCAGTCATCTGCTGATGTCTGTGTGTTTCTTCTCTCCCTGACTGAGGCTGGGTAATTGCCTTGCTGAAGGCATCCCAGAGGTAAGCTGGAGCCAAATCGGTATTCACACCAGTCAGACATCTGCAGCCACAGCCACTCTTTCTCTCGTGCTCCCTCTATCTTCTCCTTTTTTATTAAAAAAAAGAAAGCATCAAGTGTCAGACAAAAAGGCCATAAAAATGGGGCAGGAGACCACTATATTAGGTACGTCTGTGCCACTGCTTACTAATGCAAATATCATGTTAGCCAAACAGGTCGTTCCACTAAAGTCCAGTCGTCAGAATAAGAAACTAAGTTGATTTAAATGACTTGAATTCCGACAGAATTGGCATGGCTGTCATGCTTCAGGCCATCCAGTCTGAGTCTGTTAAACCAGCTGATCTCCTGGGATTTCCCTGAACAAATATATCTAGGTTTTACAGAAAGTCCATTTAAAAAAAGATGAGAACAAGG